TACTATAGCTAGAAGCAAGGTGCAGGATTGTCAGTCCGGTATAGATCTATACACAAACTCAACGCTCTCCTTAGAGGAGACTCTAGATCATAAGGGTAGTCTTCCACTAGTACATGTAATTGTACCCAAAGACGTGTCTCTCAAATTAGATTAATGACATTACAAGTAATAATACGAGAAAACTTTTTTATAAATATTTATCCATAAAAGATGTGTGTATACGTATATGTATAACCATGTGTTGAATTCCCAAACTATATCTACTATAGTTTGTGTGTACGTATGTATAACCTTGTATTAATTCCCAAACTATATTTACTATAGTTTGTGTGTATGTATCTATAACCTTGTATGAATTCCCAAACTATATTTACCATAGTTTATGTGTATGTATGTATAACCTTCTATGAATTCCCAAACTATATTTACTATAGTTTGTGTGTATGTATGTATAACCTTGTATGAATTCCCAAACTATATTTACTATAGTTTGTGTGTATGTATGTATAACCTTGTATGTATTCCCAAACTATACATTCTATAGTTTGTGTGTATGTATGTATAACCTTGGATGAATTCCCAAACTATATCTACTATAGTTTGTGTGAATGTATGGGTTTAATCATGTATTGATCTGAAAACTACGTGGTTAAGTTTGTAAGTTGAAAACGTCCCTTATGCTCAGCATAATACAGAAGGGATAAACTATCTAAAAGTTTTATAAGAGTATAGAAACTGTTTATTTGTATCGATTGCATCCATTTTAAGTTTATTGAAATCCTTTTGTATAAGTTTCATAAAATCATTTATGTTTGGCTTGTATCCCCCCCTCCCTGAAAACATTAAAAACTTGGAAAAATGTAGGGGTATGAACTCACCTCGAGGGAGTGGTTTCTATGAAAGATCGATATGAGATGTCGAGTGTCAAGTGAAGCCTCGAACACAATTGGATCCTATTTAGAATGTAATGACACATATATGAAGCAAATTAGGTATTTCACTACTAGACATGATAGGGAATCACCCTAAGGACTTGGAAACACTTGAACTAAGTGTTAAAATCATGACTAGCATCCAAGAAGTGTTCTAGGTCCCATGCTTAGTTGTATTGCAAGTTTGAGGCCTAAAATGACCATCAAAGTGGGTTTACGGCCCTAAGAGGTGTGTACGGCCGTACAAAGGGGTGTGCGACCGTACACCTTTCATGTTCATGCCAAAGTTGTCGACTTTAAGGTGTATATCAAGGCTAGGATCATGTCCAACTAGAAGATAGGGGTCAAACTCTCACTTTGGAGGGCCTTTAAGGTGTGTACGACCAACCTTATAAATATGTGCTGCCATACTCCTTCAAAGGATGAAGAACATGATGAATCCTAAAGAAGCAAGGCTTAGATTAAGAGGTCTTTCAAGTATAGCAAGCTAAAGTGTGGAGTACTTACGTTTTTGAAGCCTTGGAGGGTTCACGGTTGAGTAAGGTTGAGAGAAAAGGGAGTAGTGTGCAGCCAATGGGAGAAAGGAATGAAATAAGGGAGGTCTACTTATATATATAGGGGTGGGTGCCCTGCCACCTTGAGTGTGCGGCCATGAGGGGGTGTGTACGGTGGTACACCCATGTGTACGGTCGTACACTCCTTCTAACAGTGTGCATGACCTAAAATGCTACTCTACGACTTTGTTTACTCGCTCCTAATTTCAACCTTGGTTGTACTTAAGCTTAGAACACCTAAATGAACCCTTAAACAGTGTTAACAAATGATAGAAATGAGTCTAGCATTGATTGAATTGAATACTTGAACAAGATAGAAGTTTCGGGTTGTCACATCACATGACTCCTCATTTGTCATCATTTACTTCTTTGCGATATATGGCATCTATTTCTGTTATGTCGGCTAGTGACACATCTATGGTAGTCGAGGGTGTTGGGTCTGTATCTATTTCTCATATCAATCTTCCTGATGTTTATTACATTCCTAAACTTACTTTAAATCTTACCCCAGTCAGTCATTTGTGTAAGTCTGGTAATTGGTTGTTCTTTTCTGATTTTGTTTGTATTATACAAGATCAACACATCCAGAAGGTGATTGGGATCGGTCGTAGGGTGGGAGAACTGTATGTCTTGGAGGTTCTCAAAGTATTTGTTGTTGCTGCCTCCAGCATTGATTTGTCTTCTTTTCGTTTGAGTGCTTTGTCGTCTGATTTTTATCTTTGGCATTCTCGTTTGGGACATGTGTCTATATCACGTTTGAGTTTTCTAGCATCTAGTGGTTTTTTGGGTCATTTGAACACTTGTGATATTTCTGATTGTAGTGGTTGTAAACTAGGAAAATTCTCTGCTTTACCTTTTAGTAAAAGTATGTCTTGTTCTACTGCTCCTTTTGATATTATTCATTCTGATGTATGGGGTCCTGCACTAGTATCCACAAAGGGTGGGTCAACCTGTTATGTATCTTTTATAGATGATTATACACGATATACATGGGTTTATCTTATGAAACGCAGATCTAATTTCCTTGGCATTTACAACAATTTTAGAGCTCTTCTTAAAACTCAACATTCGGCTGTGATCAAGAGCTTCAGGTGTGACTTAAGGGGTGAATATACCTCTAATGATTTTACTCAGTTACTTGCTTCTAATGGTACCATACACGAGTCATCGTGTACAGACACTCCTCAGTAAAACGGTGTGCAGAACGAAAACACAGTCATATTGATGAGACAGCCCGCTAATTGCTCCTGTCTGCGCAGGTCCCTAGTGCCTTTTGGGGAGAAGAAATCGTAACTTCTATTTATGTGATTAATCGTATCCCTGCTTAATTGAATTCAGGAATGTCTCCTTTTGAGAAGCTATATGGTCACCTACCAAACTACTCTTCCTTACGAGTTTTTGTATGTCCTTGTGTTCTTCGTTCTCATGTTGAGAGGAACAAGTTGTGGCCCAAATATGTTATTTGTGTATTTTTGGGGTATGGTGTTGGACAGAAAGGATAGTATTGCTATGATCCTGTGAGTCAGAAGTTATATGTTTCCCGACGTGTCACTTTTTTGGAACATATTCCTTTCTACTCGATTCCTGCTACAGCTCACAATGTAACGAAGTCAGATGTTCTGCATATTGATCCTTTCGATGAGGAGATAGAGGCTCGAGACCCATCTATGTCACCTGATCCTTCAGCTCATGACACACCCACTTTTTCAAAGAGTTCCTCGACTCCTCCTGCTCCTGATTCTGCCCCTTCGACTGTTGAAATTGAAGATCCACCTCCACCACCACCCTTCAGGAGGTCTACTCGTCATGTCAAGTCCACCAACCTTCCAGATTTTGCTTACTCTACATACTTAGGACCATTTGCTTCATTTATAGCGAGCATCCATCATCTGTCTGAAGCTGAATCGTATAGAGAAGCTATTTTAGATCCTCTTTGGCAGAATGTTATGGTTGAGAAACTCACTGTTCTTCATCAGGATCATACATGGGATTTGGTTTCCCTTCCTACTGGGAAACATACGATAGGTTGTCGATGGGTGTACATGATAAAGAAAAAGTTGATGGGTCTGTTGAGCGGTACAATGCTAGACTTCTAGCAAAAGGGTATTCCTAATAGTACGGTTTTCACTATGGAGAGACCTCTGCCCCAGTGGCAAAGATGACGACAGTCCGTACTATGATTGTAGTTTAATCCATTCGACAATGGAAGATCTTTCAAATGGATGTCAAGAATGCATTTTCGAATGGTGACCTCCATGAAGAGGTTTATATGTCTCATCCTCCAGGAATTCATCACCAGTTGGGTGAGGTTTGTTGGATTCAGGAATTCAGCTCCAGCTTTGTATGGTCTCAAGCAAGTACCTCCTGCTTGGTTTGAAAAATTCTCCACAGTGATTACCTCTCTTTGATTTGTCCAGAGTAATCATGATTCGACTTTGTTTGTTAGATGCTCGATTGCAGGACAGATTCTTTTGTCCTTATATATGGATGACATAATTATTACTGGTGATGACCATGGTGGTATTGAGTCTTTTAAGCATGATCTAGCTCATCGATTTACTATGAAGGATTTGGGCTTGCTGCATTATTTCTTGGGTATTGAGGTAGCTCAGTCTAAGAAACGGTATCTTATTTCTCAAACTATATATATAATATATATATATATATATATATATATATATATATATATATATATATATAGGCCTAGGTTATTCTATTCAAAGTAATTATTGTGTTATTGTATGCATAAATGTGGGCCAATCAAATTTACTTATTTTAAGAAAGTGATTAGTATATATTATTGAATTAAAAATAATTGAAAATATCATCTTAATTAATTACAAGGGTAATTTAGTCAATTAATATAGATTTAATAAAGGAAAATTACATTTTTTAAGGGATCATATATTCTATTAATTTTAAAAATCCGATTTTACGTATTATAATTTTTTTAATTCGGACATTCTAACAGAATATGTTTATGAGTATATTCAAAAATAAAAATATTCTTGAACCATAAATAATAAAAATAATTTTGAACCTATTTCTTGATCATGAATTTAAAAACTTCTTGTAGAATAAGAAATCCTTGAATAATCAATTGAAGAATAAAAACAAAAAATACATTATTTCTTATAGAATACGGGTAACAATTGCTAAGAATTACATTTATTGTTAAGGAATAAAAACTAAAAAACAATCAAAACGGGAAAGAAAACATCCAAATCTAACAACGACTAATACATTCTAAAAGAATAATGTGGTCCGTTTCAATTTTGTGGTCTGTTCTTCAAGCATCAACATCTGTGATTCCAACAGAATTGGAATTCGTCTTTCCATTCCAATAGAATTGGAATTCGTGATTCCATTCCAATAGAATTGGAATCTCACCAATATCATCCATTGAATCATCTACATAAACACTCTTCCATTCTCTATTCTTTTCTGCATCGATTCACAATCAATATTTAATACAAAAGAAAAATCACCCCTGCATTCCTTCTCTTCTTCGTTTTCAGTCAAGAATGCACCACCGAAGTGGATGTTTTCTAGTGCAAATATGAATGAAGAGTGTCTTGAAAAGGGTCTCAGGAAAAGCAGTGATGTTGGCAGTGACAACATTGAGCTTCAAAGATTCAAAAACCTCACAAATCTTGACCATCGTGTCTCTTCTTTTCCTGCATTTCAAACTCACCAATGCTGTCTTCTCTCCCACGTATGACACTTTTAACTGTTAATTAATAGTTTAACACAATCATCAATTTGAGATAAAATCATGAGAGTACGTAAAAACAGTTCAAGACTTTGACTTACTTCAATAATTTCAATCGGAAAGGCCCTTGAATCACTTGTATCTGGAGATTGCTGAATCCTTTTCTTCTTTGATTTTTCCGTTGACATGAACACTGTGTCCTTATCAAAATCGTAAACCCCAGATTCTGATTTTTTAGACTCTAGTTTCTTTATCTCCTCTTGAATAATCCTCTCTTGTTCATGAAAATGTTGAATATAATCAATTGCATCTTTAATTATCGACGCTTTATCCATTTAAAATAATATCATATCCATAAATCAAAAACAAATTATATTCATTGAGCTTCTTCCTCCTATTTCTCTCTGAAACGATGTTTTTGGAGGCCGCCGACGACTGAGTTCCGTCCGGCGAACTTGAATCATAGTAGCCGGAAAATGTTTCCTCCAATCCGCCCCAACTGTATTTCAGAAATTGTAGAAGAAAACGATGGATTCAGGTTTAAACAACAAAGAGAAAAGGAGAAGATCATATGATTAGTTAATTAGTATGATTACCTATCGAATTCTTCGGTTTGGAGAAACATATTGGTCTCCCAATAGTTTTTATACTCACCTGCGCCGCTGCTTCACTGCTCCTTGTCGAGAGCTCCATTTCTAGGGTTTGTAATTCGAGAGCAGCTTGAGCTTCGTCGTCTTACTCCAAGTCGGAAGCGGAACTTGATGCATACTGGAATAAAGGGGAAATGGCGGATGGAGGGACAAGGGTGGGGGTGTTGATTTGTTCAATTTAGGGTTTTCAGAATCGGTTTTTAGATAAAGAGGGGAAGGAGATTTAAACTGGAGAGATACCATGATTATAGGGATTATTTTTGGAAGTTATTAAACAAATGACTAAATTACCCTTATTTATTTATTTAATTATTTAATTTTGATTGGCCCACATTTATGCATACAATAACACAATAATTAGTTTAAACAAATGAACCTAGCTCTCTCTCTCTATATATATATATATATACACACACACATATATATATATATATATATATATATATATATATATATATATCTGTCATGTTTACACGGGCGGGCCTCTCTGACAATTGGGTTGTTGATACTCCTCTCGAATCCAATGCACGGTACTCTCATACTGATGGTCTTCATTTGTCCGATCTGAATCTTTATCGCAATGTTGTGGGAAGTTTGGTTTATCTCACAGTTACTCATCCGGATATGGCCCATGATGTTCATGTTGTCAGTCAGTTTGTTACTACTCCTACCTCTGTTCATTGGGGAGCTGTACTCTGTAATCTAAGATATCTTCGTGGCACTCAGTTTCAGACCCTCTTGTTCCCCTCGACGTCTTCTCTTGAGTTACGTTCCTATAGTGATGCTGATTGCGTTGGAGATCGTCATGATCGTAAATGCACCACCAGATTTTGCGTCTTTCTTAGAGATTCTCTTATTTCATGGAAGATCAAGAAACAGGACGTTGTCTCTGTTGGGTTTTTGTATACTACAACATCCTATGGTGCACATAAAACCCTAAATGCTTTGGATCTATGTTTTCTCTAATTATACATGCAATATTGTTTCCAATGCATATAGCCTACAACTAGCATACAATTGACATAATCAACATAAAAGTTTGTTATAGAATTACCTCTTTGTTGTAGCTTGTAGTTTAGGCCTTTAAGAACTTAGCACCCCAAATGTGATGCCTCAAACGGTTCACAACACAACCTTGAACAAAGGAGAACTTGAGAGTGAGGTTGCTAGTTTCAAAATCGGCTCCTATGAACTCCAAGAACATGTCTAGCCGATTTTAGGGTATGAGAAACATATATATATAGTGTAGGATTCCAAAGGTCATGAGTAAACCCTAATCCATACACATCGGTTTATGATCCATGGTTCTTGTGACTAACTCTTTATGAATACTTACATAAACTTAGTTCAACATGGATCAATATTCCAATCCATATGTTTCACTAATTACCATAATTAGTCCCCATTAATTTAATTAGTCTCTTTTGATCACTAAATTAATTCCAAATTAATTCTAGATCAATAGTAATTAAATTATATGATTTCATATTAATATATTAGAACTTATAATATATTAATAAATCGTAAATAACCTCTTCTCAAAAGTCCATCTTATCAAATTGTCATGTTGATATGTAACACGAAATGGACCATGCTACTCTCGGGTCAAGTGCATACCAATTATAGTTATGGGCTTAGACACCTAATCTAACAGTCTCCCACTTGGATAAGTCTAATAACTATTATTGCAAGTACAACTCCACAACCCGACTAGCAATCGTAGCTCTTAAAAGCCGTTGTCGAACTCTGGCCTGGTCAATGACGCATCCATTAGATAAGGGATCATATATTCCTCTATTCTAGATATCGTATGGGCTTAGACATGGATCATAATCATTCTCGTTGTCCATCTGTTGTTTCCCGATTTCCTATTTATGACGATTGACTAATTGAACAAATCAAATCAGTCCAGGCTTGGCCAAGCGCTTCGGGTGTCATCACGAAATCATCGAGGGGCCCACATATATCACTTTTATCCCACATTCAGTAAAAGGAACGGATTAACTTCAACTCAAATGCTTGCTTGTACTTACTCATCAAATCACACACAACAATATGTTTTATAACACCAAGTTACTGGTGCGTTTACATATGTCAATGTGCAACCGACTTGTAAACTACAACTCATATGTCTTGGTTTTAAGAATATAAGATATTATCGTCTCATGATCACTCGTGATAAAATCCATGAAGTGATTCAAATGAGTGTGGGTTTAATCCAATACTCGAATCTTATTCCAGGAATACTCATGAACACTACAGCAAACTTGTGTTATGTCTAAAACACCTAGACAATCTATAGTCAGATTCACAAAAGTCTTGCCTCAGTACCTACTCCCAAAGTATGATCGAATGTGGATATTTTGAATAACCTAGTTATTCGGGAAGTCAAAACATGCAAAGTAAAACACAAGATCAATTGAATCCAATATGGTCTCAAAACTTATGAATATAAATAAAACACCTTTTATGTAATCAACATATTGATTACACATTAATCATTGTATAATGTTTCTATTAATCAACTTAATACTTGAATTAAAACAATATTTATTCCATGCTCCAAGCATGCACACTATGTTTGCCTATGGTGCTCATTTTACAATTCCAAATCCTTATGATAAATGTAAGAATATCAAATTCTTGTCATTTACTGAAATCTATTAGATTCTAAACTTATATGCATTGATCCTCAAGTCATGAATATGCACAAAAGTCACAAAGACTTGGCAACAAACATTACAAAGTATTCCAATGAAGAGCAATTCCATGGAAACGAAGTCTCACATTGAAAGTACATTCCTTTGAACATTCTTCTTTCATTAAGTTTTCTAATCTTACACAGATTTAAAGAATAACTTCCACTTATGGAAACATTTCCATATTCCCATTTTGACTATCACATTTGTGTTGAATTAGTGTCTAAGCACGTAACCATATTTGGTAAGTACTTGACCCGATTGTGCATGGTCCTTTTGGGTTGCCTTCACCAAAGCAACTTGACTAGAGAAATAATAGAGAAAGAGGTTATTATGGTTATTAATATATTATAAGAATAATATATTAAAAGAGAAATCATATTTGTTTAGTTAATATTGTTCAAGAATTAATTAAGAATTAATATTGTGATCAAGAGAAATTAACTCAACTAGGGGGACTGAACTGCAATTATGTGATAGTTGGAAAGTAGGGAAAAGGATGCCCTAAGGGATAGGGTGGATGAATTCAAGGGGATAAGGCCTTAGAATTCGTCCAAGGATAGGGCTTCTAGAAATATCCTTGGGCTGCTTGGTGGCTAAGCAACCAGATAAGGATAAGGACTGAAACCCTAATCCCTACAACTATATAAAGACCCCCTGGCTTAGGAAAACCGGCCACTTGTTATTAGAAGTTCCCAGAGCCGATTTTCTACCTCTCCCCTCTCTCTCTTGCGTCTCCATTTGCTCTTGGTGTTTGTGAGCCATTAGAGGTACTAAACTTGTGGTACTTGCTTTCAAGACAAGAAGATTGAAGACTTTAAGTTTTTATTACAACATAACAACAAGAGGTATGTAAACCTTTCTCCTTTGTGAATTTCGAAATTACTAGGAGCATGCTAGATTTCTTCATGTGTTCATAATGTTGTGTAACTAATAGTAAAACATAGATCCAATTCTAGGGTTGCATGCACACATAGGATTGTTTGTATAAACCCATCAGTGCTATCAGAGACATTGGTTTTGTTGTTTTCAATTAGTTTATACAAAAGTATGAATCGGACAATTAGGTTTTATGGCCAATAAACCCTAGGAGGCATGGTTTTCGAAATTAGGGTTCTTGAACCCTAAATTTCGAAATTGACAAGGGTTTCACAAACCCTTTCCTTAGCCCCCAAGATTTCGAAATCTAGGGTTTGCAAACCCTAGGGTTTCGAATTTGGCCTCCTCCCCAGGATAAGATCCTAAATTTTAGGGATTAGGATAATGCTTTATCTTTTAATTGTTTAAAATATGGTAATTAAAGATTTTGAATTATCCCACCCCATATTTTCGATTTTAGGGGATTTAAGGGATTAGGTTAAATTAATTGTTTAATTTAAAAGATAATCCTTCAAGATTTGATAATTAAAATAAATTGTTTATTTCAAGGATAATTATTAAATCAAGAGAGTTTTAATATTTGAAATTTTAATTTAAAAGGTTTAAATTTTGAAAATTTTAAATTGAAATTAAAACCCTAGTGTTTTAAAATGTTTAAAATACACCCTATACTATTATAATATTACAAGATTAATATATATATATATGTATAACTTAAAATGCTCGTCTTACCGTTAGTAGGCCTCATTCACGAAGCCAATCTCTAAGGGGGGTATAAGGTTATGGCCTATAAAATGGCCGTTTAATGTGTGTCCACTCTCACCCACCGCTTCCTTGATTGGTGGAGGATCGTTAGCCGAACGGGTAGGATAGGGCAAACCCTTCCTCATTAAAAGTATAATGAAGTATAAAAGTAACTAAATGTTTTCACAAACAATTCCCAATCTTAGTTATTTTAGGAAAAGTGATTTGGTGCAATTCCATGAAATTACACTTTGCACCCTTGCTAAGATGTTAATGGAGCGCGTGTGGTTAACCGGCACACTAATTGGATTCTAAGCATAGGTGGAAAAGGGTGACTCATTGTTTGTCATAGTTCGATAGAGC